TTGGTTTGTCTGCTTTTGTTGCTGAAAGTTAGAAAATGCAGGATTTAGAACTTTCTTTTTGTGTCTGTGGATAGCCATAAGTACAGGCTCTTTGTTGCAGCTTCTTTAAGGGTCTGTGTTCTTTCTGGGGCTAATGACACTTCTTTTACTTATATTAATCCCCAAAGAAGACTTTAAATTCACTTACAAACTGAATATTTGCTTTTCCAAAGTCCTGTGCCACAGAACAACGTAGATTAGTTGCAGGAATCATCAGATAGAAGTGATGCTGTCCTGGTTCTGCTGCCTATGTCTCTGCTGGAGCCTGGACTATCTTTTTGTAGTGTCCTCGTACTTCATTGTCTTGGTTCTCTCTTTTCTTTGTGAAACAGATCTCTGATTTCTTTTTCATCATTTTATGTTTTCCTTTTTGTCTTCTCCCCTTTTTTTTGACATGGTTAATACATTAAACTATAAGGCTGTGGAATGGAAGTACTGCAGCCTTTGGGGTTGGGGGGGACGCCTAGACAGAGTGGAGGTAGATACCCTGGTGGGATACAGATGAGGCAAAAATGGACAACTATCTCGTAGTTGCCAAAACTTACACAAATTTAGTTCAGCAACGTTTTTGTGGCATAGGCAAGTAGTCCTTTGTGCTAGCTAGCACTAGCATACACAACGTATGTAAGTGGCTAATAACTCCATTTTCATGTTTGCCTTTGCAGGTCAGTCAAATTCAAATACTTCTTTTGTGTTTCTCTACCCCTTCCCTAACATGTTTTAAATCCCACTCTTTCTGTGTTACTCTGTGCCTCCACATGTCAAAGTGCTGTTCAAAAGTGTGTTGCCATCTACCCAACATAGTCCTGCTGAAAAATTCACAGCTGGGATGAGCAGTCGCTGCCTGCCTCGGACTGTTCAATCAGGGTGAAGCATTAGAGGGAGCGGAATTAGTTGGCGTGAGAGGATTTAACTCGAGAAGAATACAGCATTTAAGCCCTATTTAAACATAAAATGTCTGAATAATGCTGTCTGAGTAAGGGTGGGTTGGATAGCTATAAGAGCAATTTCATCTCATACAAGGAGGTCAGCAAATTCCGTTGAATAAGAATTTTCTTGCGTGCTCTTTTGCATGATCATCAGCAGCCAATTTTGTAATTTTTGTTGTGTTGGAGTTACTCTTCTGCTTGAGAAAATACCAGTGTGGTCATAAGGATCTGACTAAAAGGCAGGAAGAGTGCAGGCGAGGTAAAAGAGTGCCCATGAAAGACAGTGGACGATCTGGCCCTGGTTTGCATATGGCTTCTTAGATTTATACAGCTTTTTTTTGTGTTTATTTTACTCTGAGCTGTTCAAGTACTTCACAGGCACTTAACTCCCACAGGATGATTATGAGGCTATATTTGGTGTATTTTACAAAAGGTTGGACCAAGGAGCTGCAAAGTTGAATGTAATCTCCCAAATCCCCCTCTCTCAATATCTGCGTTAAAGTCTGTAATGAAATCCCAGTCTGATTCAGAGTCCCGTGCTCCTGCGCGTGTCCTCCGTAATCGTGGTGCCGATCTGATTTCGCCAGCTACAAGCTTCTCTGGCTTTTCTGTGTCAAGTTCCACTGGTACAACTGCCTTGGAACGCATCTGAGTTCAATTCGGTCGTATTATGTAGTGATAAGCGTTGTGTGCAAATTGATCAGAAAATATGTGGCTAGTAAACAGCAGATTCCGCCTTTCCTGAATGATTAGCTGGCTTTTTGAAGTCCTAATGATTTTAATTTGGCTTGGAGTCAGTGAGTAAGAGTATGCAAAGCCTTTGCCAAAGTACCTACTTATTTATTTAAATTTTATCAGCACGTGTTTCTCCAGAGAACCTATCTCTTTGTCTAAGCGTTTTTTAAAAAATGTATAACTACCAAGTAAATGAGCTTAAATTGTCTCCTGTCTCGTAGATGACAGCAGTTAGTGTAGAAACAGTGTTTTTCCTTGGTGAACAGAGTTTGTAGAGTGTTCCTGACTTCTAGGAATGATGTTGTCTGTTCAGTTTCATTCTTTTTTTCTTTTTTTCCAGATTTAAAAAAAAGAAAGGAAAGAAAGTAACACAGCTTGTTTTCCCTGTGTTTGTTCTGTCTATTTTCATAACACGTTTGTTTTTATTCCCCAAGAAAAGGATATGAATAGATTAATAGTTTGTTTAAAATGTGAATGGAATTTTTCTGGACACACAAATCGCTTACTCTGTCCATTCATCTTCTGGACTTGGCTGTTTAAAACTTGTCAAGGAAGACTAAATGTTTCCTTTTTCCCTCCCAGGTTCTCTGGAGAGGAAGGATTGTCCATGTTTGTGGTTGTTTCAGATATTTGCAAAATTAAAATTCAAATACCACAGTAATGTAAATTTTTTAAAATCCTTGACTTTTATATTGTAGTTTTTTACTTCAGAGACACATTTAATTAAGATGCTTTTTGTTCTGTTTCTTAACGAGTGGTTACATAATCTAGTGCTATGCTGAAAAAAACCTACGCTTAATCAAGGCACCAGAGATGTCCTGTGCTGTGGCACCCCATTTTAATTATTATGTAGAACTGTATATGATAGATTAATTTATTGCATTCTTAAAGAAGCTGTCCTTACCTGTGACATACTGTAGTAAAAAAAAAAAGTAATAAAAGATGGGAATTAAAATGGTATTTGTAATTAATCCTTACATATTCAAATTAAATGGGATAGGACTAAACATACTGAAAAACTGACATCTGCACAAGCATGCCTTTGCAGGTGGAGCACTGCATCTATAGTATATTAAGTGACTATACATTGTGCTATGCAGTATTACTGATACTTCAAAATTTTTACACAAGCACTTTATTCCGCTGCATGCCAAACAGTGTCAGAAATCGCCTGCAAAGGAGAATCATGGTATAAGCTGAGTGCTCTAAGATACGAGCTTTTGAAAACAGCAGATAACTTCTTGTAGGTTTCTGCGCATACAGTTTATAAAATTTGACGTAATTGTGCGGTTGTTGTTGACTGAGTTATTTTCGTTTCAAAAGCCATGTACTTAGTTGAACCAGAAGCAACGGAGTGGGCGCCTTTTTCCCTGGTGCCGGGTCCCTGTTGTCAAACAAGCCAGCAGCAGCCTGGGCAGTGTGTAATTTTCACGCCATCGCAGGCAGAGGGATTAGCTCAGCTGTCACACTTCACAGCGGGTTTTGTCACTGACAGGGGGCCAGGCCACCTGGAGATGATCTGCCCAGCTCTTGGCCATCAGGATGTTTTGCTTTTTAAGGAGGTGCACAGGCAAAGCGCACATTTGAATGTTTCCTCACAGGACTTTGAATTTATCTACAAGCTTATTGGAGTTTCTTCCTTCAAACAGAAGTTTGAAAACTATTTTTGTTATTTTGGAAGTTGTCCTTATAATATCTTTTATTAATTTTTTAGTTTTTTTTATTTTGCTTACAAGTGTGTACACCACAGTTATGGCTTGGATTATGAGTCCTTGAAGTCCCTCTGTTGTGGCAGTATATTTTTCAGTTGTGTGCCCTGAGTATTCATTTTTTTATTTGTATAAGAACAAAAATATTTTCTGAATTACTTCTCTTCTACAGCTGGACTAAAGCACTGAGCTTGTAGACTGATACCCAGATCTCTTTCTTGAGTCAATACCATTAATTTATAAGCCAGTTAAGTATTTGAGTGCATTGCATTTGTCAATATTGACTTTTCCCTGCCATTGTGTTTCTCATTCTCTTAGGTTAGTTAAGTGTATCTGAACCTCCTGTGGTCTAGACTTACCTGCATGTGTTTGTGTCATGTGCAGGTTTGTCACTTTTCTGATAGCCCCTTTTTCTGATGACTAACACATACGTAGCTACCACATATGCCAGAATGGTGTGGTTCTCACCAGTTCTTACCTGTTCACCTTTCCACAAAGAAAAATGCACGGTTTATTTCTAATCTCTGTTGTCTTTCCAAGTTCTTGAAAAAAATTTGTCCCTTGTAGCACAGCTATTTAGTTACGCCAAATACCTTTCTGGAAATCCATATAGACCATTTCTGCTTTAGTTTTCTTCTGGTGCATTAAGAATTGTATCACATTTGTGAGGTACAATTTACTTTTGCTAAAACTGCGGAGAGCAAATTCTACCTGTGATCTGTGTGTCTGCTACTTGTGTTTTAATGATTGCTTTAACTAAATTGCTGTCTTATCTCAAAATATATATGCTAGCCTAAAAGTTCCCTGAATTAATCCCATAAAGCTTTTCAAAATGTAAGTACAATATTTGCTACCATGTAGTCCTTAAATAGAGTCACTAGTATGAGCATATTTTCTTAGAGGTTCAGTCATCTTATTTTTATATTTTTTCTGATATTTTGACTGTATATATCCTCTGTGGCTTGCTGAAGTAATGCCTGTTTAATTTCTCTGTTGTTTTTCCCTTCTCCCTTCCTCTCTTTTGGGTACCTATGTCCCTGGTGGCATCTCATCCTTTTTTATGTAGAAAGAATAGGTTCAGGGTAAGGTATCTTTGTAATGTAGTTGGCAGAAACTGATGCGAGAAGTTGTTTATCTTTTCAGCAACACCCTCATTTTCTTTAATTACATCTTCACCTCCGCTAATCCAAAAGACCTACTTGTTCTCCCCTTAACCGTCTTGGTGGTTATCGCGTGGTTTTTACCCACAGCCGTTTACTTTGGAACCCATTTTAGGCCTCTCTATTTCTTTCTTACACGGTGAATCTTATAATCTGCTTTGTTGGCTTCACAGCCATTGTATTTCCGTATTCTGCATAACTTTGCATTGGATTCCTATAGGTGGAATGGCTGTAGGGCACTCTGAAATCATACGACAGGTCTGTAAACTGAAGAAGAGCTATGCTAGTTTGAAGAGGACGTATTTAATTTTCAGGATACAAAATTCATCTTAGCACTTAAAGTGCATACATTCCCCACGTTCTTGTAGTCTCTAATATTTATTTTTTAATTTCTTATGTTAATATGTTGGTTTCTGCTGCTTTAACAGGTGTTAGATGCAGGAAGACTGAAAGAATATGGTGAACCTTACATTTTGCTGCAAGAACAAGATGGCTTGTTTTACAAAATGGTGCAACAAGTGGGCAAGACTGAAGCGACTTCTCTGATTGAAACAGCGAAACGGGTAATTTTAGAAGAGAGGATAATCAAGTTTGTCTCTGCAGTTTGTTTACCTCGTTAGCATATTCAGTGTTACAGTAAGCCTTCCACAACAGAATCTGTCGGCTTTGCAAGGCTAAGCCAGCATTTTCAGCACTTCTTTTAGTGGGATATACACAGACTTCCAGATGATAAGTGTATTTGTATACCCTGAGTTGAAAGACTGTTTGGATTTCTTGTGTCGTTCTGTATGTACACAGAACGGTTAAGTGTAAATAATGTATGACATGCTCACCTGTGCTGGGCATTGATCTTAGAGACACTTGCTGTAAAAACAAGTTAGGGTTGCGGAGTCTGGCATTTATGTGTTATTTCTATATTTTTAAAAGGACCTATCAAATTCTAGTTTGAGGTTGAGTACCTGCGCGTTATATTATGGTCTCTGGGAGTGTGGTCGCATTCTGATTTTTGTGCTTTCTCTTGCTTTGTTCTTGTACCCTTGCTCTGATCTGCACAGCTGTTGAATGTTGTGTTCCCTCCTTGTTCCTTACAAGTCTGTGTGCCTGATTTACTGCTTGCTATTCAAATCCTACTCTGAGTACAGAATTAGTAACGTAATTGTGAGCATTCCTCTGGCAATCGAAGTGTTTAAGAAACATCAATGGATTAATTTTCGTAATACGCCTCTGAGGTGAGGCTGTATCATCTCTGCTTTTCAGATGGAAAGCTGAAGCAGAGACAAAAGAAGATAAAGAAATGACCTCTGATAGAGGAACTCATTTTGACTAGCTTTTGACTTGATTTCTTTTTTCCTGACAATTTACCACACAGGATGTCCAGAGCAAGGTTTTATTTCGCTCAGTGCTCCTGAAGTTTCAGCGTTGCCTCAGTTGAGACTGCAGTGCTCAGTTTGGCAGCAACTCGCTTCATTTTCGTGTAACTTTACTTTCATCATGCAAGTAAGGTGCCGATATTTAGCATAGAGAGACCCAAGAGAGCCTGCTGAAGACAAGCAAAGGTCTTGCCTCTAGCCTCCATGCGTTCCTCTCCTTAAGCTGCTGTATGTGTGGAGCAGAGCTAGGGGAACACCAACTCTAAACTGTTCCCTGGGGAAACAGGAGGGCAACAGGCAGGAAGCAACACGTAAAGACAGGAAACAAAATGGCAGGTGCCCGGCTATTTCCTAGTAAACACAGACGCATCGCCACACGTTGTTAAAAAAATGATAAATTGTGCTGCTGTCATGGAGGTTATTTTACTGGACCTTTGGAAGATTAGGGAAGAGATTTCTGTATCTGTTCAGATTCTTAGGATTTTTTTTTAGAGTGACTAAACTTCACTTTTTTTTTTCTCTTTTTTTTTTTAAAGTTTTTCAAATGAAGCTTTGTGTAGCTGAGAGCTTACACTGTAAGTTCATGTGTGGCACTAATCGCAGAACTGAGGAAACAGCTTTGTCCTTAACGAGACTATGTGATGAGTTGTGCTGTCCTTCTCCATTGCTGCAGTGTAGCTTCTTTTGCTTTATCACTAGAAATGAATGAGTTAGCCGTGTTTTTTTGTGGTGTGTGTATGACAGTTTGGAGGTTATATAAATGGTGTTTAAAGGGATAGCTTCAAATTCGTATGGCCACTGTTTGTCTGTAAAGTGAAGGTCAGCTTCCTGAGGCTTGATCCTTGGAATGGCAAGAGGTGAGGCTGTCCGGCTGTCATCTGTAGAGATTTAGCTGTGTCGTGCTGTCTCTTCTTCCTTCCCTGCAGCCCTCCCCAGTTGCACAATTGCGTTCAAAGATAATTCAAAATATATAAAAATGATTGCCTGATGTTACTTGCCCATATAGTCATCTGCAGTTACCACATCAACGTTATGTGATTTTGTACAGGAAGGGAAGAGATCCAGGAACCAGTCTCTGCTGAAATGTGGTTTGATGAAAAAGTTTGCTAACTCCCAGGCTAGAAGGCAGATACAAGCCTTAGCATCTGCCAAGAATGCAAAGCGTCGTGCTTATCCACACTCAGCCCAAAAATACGGGAATCGAGAGACTATATCTCCAGTCAGCAGCTACCCAGAAGCACAGTTTACCGTCCTTTCTGTTTGAAGGACTTGGAAATTAATTCAAGGTTTTCGGTATTGCTGTCCCTTGTGCTTCGTGCATACTTTCAGAGAAGTTTCTTAGTCAGGAGAGCTGATTGTGATGGCTTTTCTTTCTACACTAGTAGGTCTGTTACATGTATTGCTGTTGGTCTCGTACATTCCTACTGTGGTTACTAAGAACTGTTTTTATGAAGAACAGCTTTTTTCTGTTGTTGAAAAACAGCATGCTGCACATAAAAAAAAATGGTAATATGGCATATATACATACTTTTCAAGAGGCGTTACAGTGGGTTGCTAAGTAAAATGGTTTGGAATGTGGCCATGCTTTGGCAATGATTATTTGATTTATTGCATTTTGGACCTGAATCTTGCACAGAACAAACTTGCTGCAAGAGCTTCTTTCAGTAAGGTGAGATTTTAAATGCGTTTTCTGGAGCAGTATGGATTCTGCATATATCCTTTAAGTGCAAATGAAGAGGGACTGCACACCTTAAATTGGAAGATTACTTTGGACATCTTTGAAGACACCTAATTTTCAAACGAATCTTGTGGGCATCTTGGCTAAGCATTGCAAGATTGAGCTATTGCTGGAACCTTAGCTCAGGCTTCCGAACTGATCCAGCACTGCTGTTTTTACGTCTCACTTGGTGACTCGATATCCCCGTTTTCTGTGCAAGTGTCAAAGGAAACAGCACAGGCGCAGCTCAGAGTGGAGACTGCTGAGTGTCTGTGAACTAGCCTGTGAGCCTGACTGCGACAGGGTTGGGCTTGGCATTGGGAGACCGTGTTCTTATCTTTGCTCAGTTTACAGGAAGCTGTTAGGAGAAAATCCTGGTGTGTTCTCTGCGCTCTGGGCAGCGTTGAGAGAGGATTTTCCACAAGTTTTGGTGGCGTCCGGATAGGATTGGTTTTCCGTCAGTCAGTTTTTGAGTGCTTTGAGGAAAAAATAAGGGTGATTTTATTTTAAAGCTATGACAGATGTAAATATTAAATACTAAGTGTTATCTCACCTTAGTGATGCCTTTTAAAAAGGTTGCAGCTCTGTTGGCAGTGGAAGAAGCGAGTTTAAAGACTTGAGCATTTAATATCTTGAGGGATTGGGCTCAGGGGAAGAATTGCAATGAGACAGTTGAAAAGGAGCTGCCATTTCATTACATCTCTAGTAATGTGCCAAGGTTTTCTGGTTAACTTTAAAAAAAAAAATTCACATTCAAAAGCTGCATTAAAGGTACGCCAAAGTTTTCTATTTTAACCCAGGAAGGGGATGGGAACACGCAACTGGTGCTGCCGTCTCTGCAGCGTGTGTGCAGGCAGGTGCCTGGTTAACGTCACTCCGTTGCATCCGGTTGTGGCTAGTTACTGAGGAATGCCTCTTAACAGGGCTTCCAGTTCTTTTGTTGATTCAAATCAGACCTTAATATTCTGTGAAACTGGTAAAGATGCATATATCCCACGTTAGCGTGTGCGCACAAAAGCCGACAGTGGTACTTACAGGAATGTTTTTATAGAATGACTATTTCTTTTTTATCCCGCGTGTCTTATACATGCATTCATATATATGAGAAGGACATTATTATCAAACAAACTGAACTTTGTTGACAACCCTCCTGAATATAACTTGGAGAAATGTTTCATAAGCCGTAGTCAAAGCAGTCTGACTTGGCTATGAGACCTGACTCGTGACACATGTCAGCTTCAGAAAGATAGTGTATTTTCTGTTTTTTAAGACTCAAACAAAACTTCTCACATTCTTCTTCGAAAAAAATGCATTTGAAGTCCTTTTTCACCCAAACACATTTTTAGATAAGAGCACACAAGTCTTGACATTATTTCATTTTGTTATGCGCATCTGTCATGGAACAGAGATATGATACAGCTACTAAAAACTGATGATTGTGGAACAGTGAAACTTGACAGCATTTCATTTCCTTTATGTTCTGATTACACATTTATCAGGAAACCTGTATCTCTTCTAGTTGAGCTAGAAATTGGTAGAATTCAGGAACTCAAAGGCTCGGCAAAGAACTGTCCTATTATTTGGTATCATCTTACATTTTAGAGAAGTTGCCTGGTTGAGTCATTGTTAAAGCTTTTGCTTCTTCTTTCATTATTGTGGCTCACTATCCAGAGATCACATTTCTATAGGCCCTGTAACTGCTCTGCAGCACAAATTAAACGCTGGGATATTTCATACATATACCTCGAAGTTTCAATGGTTGTCAATCATAGTTTGTAAAATATAGGGATTACAACCTGATATTAACATCCAAATCCATTGTGTTCATTTTATGTGTGAAAATGAGAAACCCTTGTGCAGACGCAAGATTTCACAGCTTCTTTGTCATCCTGTTTTTAATTTATCTCCATGTTTTGAGCTAGTAAAATGATTTCACTTATCAGTTTAATGTGAAGTGATAAAATATATCTATTTATCTGAATTACCAGAATTGGAGTGGATCTACAGGTTGTGTGGGATTTTTCTCACACTTTGTTGTAATGTAAGATCCTATAGTAATTTCACTAATTTTTCAGTTACACAGAGTTACTGAATGCCACTAACCTGAAGCTCCTGTTGGAGTTGCTTAAGGACATGTGTTTGTCTCTACCGTATTTATCTCCAGAAATTTTATTTGAAACTGAAAGGTGTTTGAGGCATAATTACTCACAGAATCTGGTGTTTTTCCTAGGTGTACTTCAGTAAGAATTACCCAGAAGTAGTTCAGAATGGTCAACTTGCCACAGACTCCTCCTTGGATCCTTCCACGGGATTATGCGTAACTGAAACTGCACTGTGATTCTTAATAACAGTAACTGTTTTCCATAGAGTATAAACCTGAGATCGTCTAAACTCAGTCACAACGTTTGCAGGTGTCAGCGGGAGAGGAAAGGGAGGGGGTGATTTTTTGCACTGGACATCCTTCCTATTTAATATTGAGAGGAGAATTTTTACTGTCCCTCTTTCTTTAATTTCAGTGCAATATGTTTTCCTTTCCATCTAATTATGTTTGTATTGCTAAGGAAATTAGGCAGACTCAGTTTTTATTTGAAAGTTATGTGGTAGAGATGTCTTTTATTTAAACAGGTGCAGGACACCTAGCAGGTCTAGGGTGCATATTTGGAGCTTATTAAAAAAGATGGAATGTGCCCATTTTCTTTTTTGGAAATATTTTGAGAACAAGCAAAACCAAAATTTTTCCAGTGTCACTGTAGCATGACAGCTGTGTCTAAACAGCCGATTTGGTAGTGTGCAACTGTCTTTCTGCCTCTCACAAGTAGCTCTGCAGGTTGGTAGAAGAAAGAATTGAACAAGCCAAAAATACTTTTTCTTTTTGATAGCAAAAAGTACTATATACTTTTTTTATAAATGGTTCAAATAATGCTGTTCAATATGTAAATATTAGTTTTATTTTGCTAAAATCCAAATGCTGAAAAATCAATCTCAGTCTTCTATACTTTAGAAGAAAAGTACCACATTTGCACTGAAGAAATATTTAAATAATTTAACATACATTCCTCTTTTTATCCAGGTTATCAAAGGAAAAAAGGTATTAAAATAACTTTAGGAAATGTTTGAATGACATGTCATTATACCTAAATACTGTGTAGTACAAAGTTATCTTCAACACAACACATTGAAATGTATACATTATTTGCATTTATTGTGCCTTAATATTTGTGCCTTCAAGCCAAAGCTGTAACTGCAGGGTACACAACAAATTCATTAAATGTGTGTTAAAAATATGTAACCTTAGTATATTTAAATTTTTGCGTCAGGGGTTCTGTTGAACTGGAGCTGTTTGAAGTTACCATCCTACCGGAATAGGTAGGAAAGTGCAACCTGCAGTTCTGAATGGCTGTTGCAGATAGTGAGGGGAGTGCAGTGAGAGAGAGGGGTTCGGTCTCCGTAAGCCATGTCCTGATTCAGCAAAGCACTTTAACACAAAGGCACTATTCCTGGGCTTAAAAATAAAAGCAACCTGCAGTTCTGAATGGCTGTTGCAGATAGTGAGGGGAGTGCAGTGAGAGAGAGGGGTTCGGTCTCCGTAAGCCATGTCCTGATTCAGCAAAGCACTTTAACACAAAGGCACTATTCCTGTGCTTAAAAATAAAAGAAAAATAATTTAAAAAAAAAAAAATGAAGCAAGTGCTGTGCTGCTTCAGGTTTTTTCATGTTTAGTGAGATACCTACTTTTTGAAGTCTGGTAGAAAATAAATCTGTGCATCTTACTGTTTCAAGAGCACAGAAGAGACTAAAAGGCAATGAACGGATCTCTTCAGGACATGGAAAATACTATGCTTTTAAGAAAAAATACTGCAGATGCTGGCTATTACCTTTGTAAGACAAATGTTCTTTACCCCATGTTTACCCAGAGGCCTAAAAGTACAGCAAAAACAAATCTTTCTCATTTCAAGCAGTTCTACAAGCAAATAACTGATTCAAATATAAAATTACTCTGTCCTTGTTGAGAAGCGAATTGAGGCCAAAGCCTGTGCCTCAGCACAAGGGCTCGTCTGGAAGGGCTTTGTCCTGCTCAGAAGTCAGCCCAGTGGTGAGAGGCTGATGAGAGGCAGAATCCTTGTTTCCCTGTGGCAGCATCTTCCCTGCTGCGAGTCTCAGGGGCTTGCTGTCCTGCTGTGAGATCCCAGGAGAGAGGGCAGGACCTCTTGCTACCTGCAGTGCCACCAGCCAGCTTCCCCAGGAGGGAGGGAAGAACAAACATCAGGCATCTGGTTTTGCAGGTGACATCCTCTGCTGTCATTAGCAGGAGGTTACAGAACGAAGTGCTCTTGCCCCTAGGTGTTTTTCGGCAGGTTCTGACTCTTCTTCTGCATTGTGTAGCCCCTTACACTATAACAGATCCCACAGAGACCAGAGGAAGTGAACTTCACGCAGTGATGCACGGCGTGAGGTGTGTGCTACATCGGGTGCTAAATAGCAGACGGTGAGGGACAGCTAGCTGTCCCCAAAGCCGCATGGCACAGATTGGCTCATGCTAGGTGTTTTTCGGCAGGTTCTGACTCTTCTTCTGCATTGTGTAGCCCCTTACACTATAACAGATCCCACAGAGACCAGAGGAAGTGAACTTCACGCAGTGATGCACGGCGTGAGGTGTGTGCTACATCGGGTGCTAAATAGCAGACGGTGAGGGACAGCTAGCTGTCCCCAAAGCCGCATGGCACAGATTGGCTCATGTGTGCAGTAAAACCCCCCCAGCCACATCCACTGCTCTGTATCATGTGGCCCTTGGTCTTCTGCGGGCTCGTGCAGTCCGCTTACGGACCTAGCACACAGTTACCATCTAGTGAATTTTGTTGTGGTTTCCTTTTCAATTCCAATTGTCTGAAATAAGGATAGGGCTATTGTGCAGCTCAGTAGTGGCGTTTGTACTGCAGAGGTACTGCAGAGGACTGTGTAGCATGGGGGAAGTTCGACCTTCCATGGTCTTGTCTGTAACTGCCCTTTTGGAAGGGATCTGTGGTGTGAGCCATGCCCAAACTCTGCTCGAGCTTTGTCATGGGGAGAGCTGGCTGGAGTGGGCGAAAACAGAGCCAGAGTGAGCTGACGAGTAAGGCACTGCGGACGCTTAGTGGAGTCTGGTGCTTGAGCTCGTTTGTTTACCTTTTTTATTGAGCAGTGTGGACACATCCAGAGTCTAACTGTGTTTTACAATAGTGAATTCTTTTTATTTCTAAATAGTTAGTTCTTACAATAGAGTAAGTATGATGCATAATACACTGAAATTTTTAAGTACCCTAAGAGAACAGTATGTTCTCCTGGCCATATACCTTGAGTTTGTATTTTTTTTTTTATCCGATCGAGGAGGTAAGCATGCGTAAACCAAGGGTATAATTACAGTTTTAGTTCATTTCAGCTCTGAAATGAATCTATGGTGAGTTATATTTCAGAGCAGAGCTCCAAAACACTGGCTGCTGCAGAGTCACTGGTATGAGACCTTGACAGATCTAGCTGTCAGTCTATAAACTAGAATGAATTTGATCCTGTAGCTTTTTGAATGCGCACAGAAATGTTAGGTATCTCTGAAAATGCTCATTCTGCTTCTTCGCATGTTTTGGCAGAACTTTACTAGCTGTAGGTATCAAATGTCAATATCAGAGAAAACAAATTTTTTACAAAATCACACTTGAAACCCATAAATTGCTGAGTAGAACGACTGTGAAAGCAAGTCATTCATGTCCATCGTTGGCATTGTATCCATCTTTTTAGTTTAACAAAAACATTTTAATGAGAAAATTGGTTTTTAGATTCTTTTGTTGGTTTTATTGTTGATAGGTTTTTTTTTTGTTTATATGACTGTGGGTCAGGATTGACTGACCCGTTTAATTTCAGCTGAATAAAAAAGTACAACATACCTGAATGGCGAAACTCAGATCAGGGATGAGTAAGGCCTTCCTCTGGTGAAAGTCTTCGTCCGTTAAATGGATGAATTATCTTTCCAGCAAGGTGTTTTATGTTTCCTTTTCAAGAAAAGTTCAAATAGTTCTAAACTTCCACTTTGAAGATTTTCATGCTTTTGTTTGGAAATGGCAAAGCTGGTTCCTATAAGCTACATTCCTTCCTGGGGATCTTGGAAAAAGAACTCAGTCTTCTGAGTTATTCAAGCCTTTAAAATACTTCTTCACCATGAGGTGCCTTAAAGTATTCTGGAGTCTTATTTCTAATAAATATAATTTCATACAGTAATAGGGAAAATCATCAGTTACAGAACTGTTGTTTGTTCAGTGTAAAAGACTAGGAACAGCCTTTAGTTCTGATCTCAAGAACTGTTCTTCAGACGTTCGTTTTGGTGCGCCTTTGCTCCAGCCCTCCGCAAAAGACCACTGGGAGAGTCAAAACCAGCACAGTTCTCAAGGGTAGGTTATCTCACGTTTTGCTTACTTTAAGGGCAAAGTTCTCTTTGGTGGACTGAACCAGAGCTCATTTGCCAGATAGACGCAGTCTTCTGCGATACCATTCGTACTGCCCTTTGGAAGAGGGGGGACCTGCTGCCCAACGTCAGTAATGCTGGTGGCTGGAGGGATGTTGACAATTTCTTGTAACCTCCCCAATACATGTTTAAAATAAGATTGCAAGAAGAATCAGAACGGGACAGATGATCCAAATGAAAGTACAAAATGCTGCTTTGTGTGTTAATCTGACCCTTTGAAATATCTCACTTTAAAGTATGCCTCTCTTTTGGGGGGGAGAGGTGGGGAAGAAAGAGTTGAAATCACTTCCTGTGATGGAGATGAGCCTCTGACACTTCAGCAGAAGAATGTGGCTCTCTGTATATGTTTTACATTGTGTGACAGCGCACTGCTTTCTCGTCATTTTAACTCTGGTTTGGGTTCATTTCGTTTTTTGCATTTGTGTAATAATTTGGTTTTGGTATTGCTGTGTAACGATGTCTTTTGTTGACGTTTGTGCGATGATCCCCGTCACACAATAAAAGTTTCTCAGAAGCATGCAGCAGTCTGTGGTCATTGCGAGTGTGTGGTTGAAGGCAGAAATGCTGGGCTGAGCAAAGTCAGGTCGTGCCTTCAGAAATCTTGAGACACCTTGTGCTGGCATTGCCAGCTCCAGGAGCTGAATATCCTCCATTTGGAGGTGTAACACAGAATAATACATCCCAGCTTGATTTTGCCAGTCGTCTGCGGTCTAAGATATCTTGGATCACATCATCAAGCTTTTTACTTCAGTGACGAAGGCTAGAAAGTCATCCAAATAGATTTTGAGAAGTTGTGATGGAAGAAGCAGTGCAGTTGCAGAAGTGCGGGTTGGGTGCGGTCTCTGCCTCGAGCAGCTGGCATGTTCCATGGGCTGGGCAGCCGAGAGGTGGAAGGTTAATGGACACAGGGGCGAAGAGGGTTAGCAGCGTGACTCCAAAATCTGGTGTCATCTCTCAATCCTGTGCTGCTGTCTGATCAGTTTCTTGCTTCATTTAACAAGACACTAAAACGGCTCGTTTCTGAAAACTGCGCAAAGTTTCTCCCTATGTCTACCAGCTGTCCCAAGCACTTAAGTACTGTTTTGGTGCAAGATTTTAGTACAAGGTGAAATGTGCATTTGTCAATAATCCTTCAGTGCAGCAAGTTCCGGGACTTGAAGCAACATGAGTTGTCATCTGTCCGTTTATAACATGATGCTGGAATAGGCGTTACAGATGTCTCGTGTTTCTACCACAAGTCTGCCTCGCAACCACCATGCAGCTGTCTTAACCACCTGAGAGGGAATTTGGCTTAGGTTGTCACAGTACAAGTCATGTGTGGTACGTGCAGTGTCCTCCTGGAGCATGCACTTGCTGAACGCGCGTGCCTCCCGTGTTAGTACAACAGCTCTCTCTTAGAAATGGGTGAGGTGGATTTGTCTGCTCGCCTGAAAGGGAGATGCTGATAAATAGCAAAGCCAAAGATGTGTTTTATGAGTTTGCCCACAAAACACGCATGAATTTTATAAAATCGGTGTATAAAGCTGGTTCATGGATTTGGAGCAATATTAGCATATAAAAAATTAGGGCCGTGCTCTGACCTCTGAAATC